AAAAATTGTGGCTGCTGAAGCGCTTTAGCACTGCAATATTTTCACCTCAAACCAAATGTCTGACTGTCATAATCACAGTAATAACATGATGCCAATAGGGATGCACGATAATTATCAGGACAGGGAAATAAAATGTATATTATTATGAATTATCAGGATTATTAAATCACAGTCAATACATTTTCGATTGATAATAATATCATTATTTTGAATTCTAATGCAAAACGATTTTACAAAAGTATGTTTGTGAAGTGTTTTGATGAACTTTACTAGAAAAAAAGAAATGAACATTTGAAGAGTCAGAACTGTGGTTTGTATTTCTTGTGTTAACAATAGAGATGTCAGTTAGATTTGGTGAGAAACAGAGCTATAGAAAGAGGAGTCAGACATCTTTAAGTCTTGTATAACTAAAGTGATTACAATTCCTCATGCAAGGGCCATGAATGTCCAAACAATGTGTACATACTGTATATATATATATATATATATGCATGTATGTATGAATGAATGTATGTACAAACTTCATGAGGCTTCGTCCTCAGGGGAACATGAATGTCACCAAATTTCATGATAATGCATGTAAGAGCTCCAAAAGTGGTGGATCGACCAGACTGACTGACTTTGCCATCTGCGTCACTGCTAGCATGGCTAAAAATATCAAATTTCCCTATCAAAAATCCATGTATATAATCACAATGATACATGTGAGGCTGTAGTCGTCACTTTAATGCCACAGCCTCTACTGTACATGCAGAGATATGTGCCGAAAGCGATGAGGTGGCAGGTGTGAGAGTCAATGAGAAGATCATTTTTATGAATGACACCATAGAGGTTGGGGAAAGTTGCTGAGGCTATGTGAACTGCTGCAAATTAATCTCCCAGTAGAATCGAGTGTGGACAGGTCCTACTTCTAAGGCCTTTCTCTCCGCCAGCTACAGTTGATTAGAATTCCTGTTTGATGTAGTAATTAATCACTCCGTCTGTCAGGGCAGTAAAATTGCAGTGTCATGGTCAGGCACCACTGAATCTGTTCCCATTAAAGGATACCTATAATGCTAATTTCCAGCTTTATAATTTTATTCTGGCACTCCACTAGAGGAGTTTTGCATTAGAACACTTTCTTCTGATTGGCCAATTCCAGAGGCCTGCTGAAGGGCAGCACCTAGTGCTAATGAGCACTGCAACGATAGACGCCTACGGTTTTAGGTGTTTCTGGGGGCCGGGCCTCACTGATTACTGTACAAAAAAAACTTTATTCACTGAAACTAGATTCTGGTCTTCCTCTGGCTGCTCTGCTCTATCTTATTTTTCAGTCTGCATTGAGTATACCCACTTCTAAATCTCCTCTGATGCGCATCGTTCAGTCGTATTCTGCAAGCGCAATTTTTTTCATGAGTGATGCAGTAAACAATAAGGTGGACATCCAAGTGAAAATCACAAAACGTGGGAAGGCTGTGCAATTTGGCTTCCCAACATCCAACAATGTGTCGCATTCCCTTAACATTTCTCTGTCTTGTAGCTTGCTAGCTCAGCGATGGAAATACAGCTTGGTGTTGGTAAAGTTAAAACAACAACAAAAAAGCCCCCAGGAAGAGCGTCAGGCTTTGAAGCTAGTTTGACATAGTGGCCAAACTGTGTAATTACAGAAATGGCTGGAAATACTTTTCCCCATGAGGTTATATTGTGAAAGAAGCGACTGCAAAACAGTGGGTCAATTATACAATGGAGGGCTAAACTGGAAGTCTCTGGCACGCATGCTCGTATGTATGGACATATGCATTCATCCGGGTCATCTTTCAATTTTTAAAAAAGCAGGAAGCTGTTTTTTTGCTTCATGTGCTACTGAGCACACTGGGTGCATTGTGCTGGGAGTGTGTGTGCATATATACAAATTATAAATAACACCGATGCCTTCTGACCTCATTAATATATTAAGATTTGGGTGAGGATCAATGTGTGACTAATGTTAAAGGATTTGTATTCAATGTCAAGTATGTATTACTCTGAGGCTCAGAAATGTCATGGTCACATTGTCTACACCACCCCACTGGTATTTTTCTTTTGAAATAACCAATTAAATGTTTTGCACAAAATGTATTAAAATTCTTCTGAGAGAATTTCGAGTGAAGGACACACTTTTAGAGTTTAAAGAGTCTGACTTCAAGCAGATCGTTCTTAAATCTTTAAAGAAGTGCTTAGACGATATTTTTGTTGAGGTAGAACCAGACCTGCTGATCTTGCAGCCAATCCCCAAAGCTGTCAAAAGCAGGGGAAAATTATGGTAAACCTCCCACTTTCAAAACAGAAACTGATAAGAAGGATGATGTTTCTTTAATACCAGTCAAAAACTCTTTGAAATGTGATCTATTTGACTGTGGTCTGATATGAAAACCCTGCAGCGGGATTTTCATTTTATTATAAGTGACTATAAATTGTGGACGTTTTAGGAAACTAAATACTTATCATGACAAGAGCTTTGATTTCAAAGAAGTGTTTAAAAAAGAACAATATCACTATCTGGACTATATCAGTGTACTTGTGTGGTTTTGCCTGAAAGATACAATATGTATAGACTACACAATATTGTGGAAGACTAAACATTTTCCTTTATGTTTTCAATATTATTCATGGCTGTGCTACTGTCCAGCACACTATATAGTATGAGTCTTTATTTACTGAACTGACAAAATACATTTTCTTCCAATTACACAAAGTTGGCATCAAATTTTTAACCTTGAAGTAGCTTGTTGATGAGGTCTAATGCTTTCAGTTATTTAATACATTTGCATGTAAATTGAAGTTATCTTACTGTAATGGCCCTCCAATGTTCCCTTCCAGGATGTTTCAGGACAACAAACTGCTCAGCGTGAACTTCACAAAGGTCTTTAGTCACAAATGGATAGTACATCACCAGTGGAAATACAATAATGTCTTCCTCGCTGGCAGAGGTTATTTCCGTACTTCCTCTGCAGTAATAAAATGTCCTCACAGTGTAAAAAAGATAATAGATGCTTGAACAAAATGAATAATCACCAAGTGAACTGTGTTGAAACCATGTTTATACAAAAGACTAACTACAAAATTAGCATTAGGTAAAAAATTATGTAAATCCAGCGGTATCAATATCAACACAAATCTAAACGTCTTCCCTTCTTTTAAGTTCTCAAGGGACACTAACTAATAATCACTGATAATATAGGACTAATATTGGTGACTGGATAAGAATTATGACACTGTGTTTGGAAGTGGAAGAATAACATGCTTTTAAAGGCAAACTGAGTGTTTATGGAAACCATTACAATCATTTTTTAACATACAGTGATGTTAGGAATCTTCCTCCTGAATGAAGAACTGGCACATGCTTAAATAAAGGAAAACTGTATACCTTGCAAGGGATGAAAGGCAGGTTTTTTTATTCATTCATTCATTTAATTTTCACTTTTGCTTCTGTAGCTGTAAGTGTAGAAACTGTTGATTTATTTCTCATCTTCTTGATAACTTTAATGTCTTCATTGTTATGCAAAAGGAGAAAGAACTATAGGAAGAAAATGACTGAAATGGGAGCGAAGGGGGCTCCCACCTTCTTCAAAGAAGGTGAGAATATAGAAAAGAAAATACAAAACATACTTACTGGCTGAAAGCATGAAAACTATTTAGTTTCATTTCTATGGTGGACATAAGTTTTGCAGAAATCATAAATCTAAATTTACAATTTCGGATTATTTAATTGATTACTTCTCAAACTGAATTAATAAAATACTGCGTTAAAAACTGCTTTTTTTATTCTGAAGGAAAAGAGTAGATATGTCCTATTATTGTTTATTTACCCTACAAGCCACACACGTGTACACACACACACACACACACACACAGAGCACCTGCCTTATACCGGTCCACACGGGCTCGAACATCTGTGCACGTTCCCGCAAGTGTGGGCATGCGCAGTAGCAATGAACAGGTGCATGACGTCCATCCAGTCGTTGTTATCAACACTCTCATTTGAATTCATTTCCAACACTCAGAAGAAATATAGGTCCTCAGTTAGGCTGTCAACACGGTTGTTTTTTTTTTATCTGTGGCCGCTGTACAGGTGCACACAGCCTGAGGTCAATTAGGATAGCTTAATAAAAAATTAGCTTGTTGATTGATTGAGGCAAATATACGGCGCACGAGCCCGGGGTAGAGGTAATGCGTAGCTGTCTCGTGCTGAATGTGCGTTTCCTCGTAGTCGGAGGAAGAAAATGCTACCCCGAGGTTAGACAATAGGTGGGTTTTTAACGCCATTGATAAGGGTAATAAGGCTGAATCTCTCCTGGAGCCCTTACTTTCACAGGAGACATTAAACAACCTTTAGCTGCGTATTCAAATATCCACCTGGAGACTGGCGAGGGTGGACTATATCTTTTAGAAAATGCTTTGCTTGAAAAACGGCAATAATGACCACATCATTGCTTAAAAAAAAAAAAAAAAAAAAGGTTGGAGCTCACCTGCCCGGTCACCTTTATCCGGATGCCTCTTCGGTCTGAGAAATGCAGCAGGAGGTTTTGAAGATATGTCCACCGGTCTCAACTAGCAGTTGTTGTAGCACAGCGGCAGGTCTAGTTTAATCTATGCAGGCACTTTCACAACACCGAAGCCAGCGACAGCCCACACAAACTGCTATCTTTAACGAGACCTTACTTAAAACGGCTCGCGCGCTCTCACAATTAGCTCCATTGATTAAGAAGCCGATTGGCTGCTGTGTTAGCACTGAGCCCGTTTTCCAAAAAGGATGCCCGGGAGGGTTTTGTGATGACAAATGCGTCTTTTGGTGTGGTACCCCGGTGTGAAGTTGAAGCGTGTCCGCTGCCGTCGATATGGACCCCGTACAAGAGCAAGAAAAATAGACTAACTTGCAAATGCACGTTTACTGGTGATATAGTGACATCTAGTGGCCACAGGAGGAGGTGTAGTTGGCTTTAATTAAACAAATTAATGAAGAATACCAAAGCATGTATATGTGTCTATTTAATACTTTTATTCCATTCAATTCTTTACTGTAAAGTGATTGATTTTGGTACAAATTATTTACACATTTGGCCAAAGAACTAATAGATATACCGAGAGAGGAAGACAAACAGAGAGAGAGAGAGAGAGAGAGGGAGAGGGAGAGAGATTGAGATTTGCATGCACATTAAATAAATTTGAGAGTCACAAAGTCCAGTGCAGGTTTTCTCTTGACAGTCTCAGTCTTGTTTGATTGTTGGTGAATCGAAGGATTAGGGGGGAGTGTGGGGAATAGTTAACACTGGGCTGATTTACCACTGATCGCTATAGTCCAAGCTGTAAGAGAAGAGAGAAAACCCGTTAATTAATTAAAAATTTACACTTACTCCTGATATGTGGAGGACACCAGTGCTGACAGATTACCAGCTCAGCTTTCAAAACATATGATTGTAACATTATGATGAAGACCAGTAAGATGTGTAAATCCACAGTGAAATAAAATGCTAATTAATACTCACTTGAAGAGTGAAATTACAACAGCAATGTAATCCTTCTGCTGTAAGGCTTACAGCAATGAAAACAATTTAACAATATATTGGCAGGGCTGTGTTATTGGAATATGAAACATAATTACATTTTAGGTACTCTCTCATTAAACTGAAAGATCGTCCTTTATTTGTTTGACAAGCCAGTTATCTCTCATATCATAATATAGTGGGGGCCGGTCAGACCTTTCCCCTTCCCATACTCGTAAGGGGGTTAAATTTTTTTGTAAATCCTGAAACATTGGTTTTTTGCACAGTTTATGTATTCCTTTGCTCAGTTATTTCAGTGGCTTTTCTACCATCTTCAACTGTCAACTTCAGTATAAAATTATTGCTGTCAGCATCAACCTTTACAAGCCCAAAGTGATTCAACCAGACATGTATTCTTGTTTGTTTCTCTCACCGTGGTTCAGCGTCTTGGCTTGAATCGGCCCCAAACAGCAACCACGCCACCGCCTGCTCAGGGGTCGACCTCTTCCCATACCTGGAGAAAATCAACCAACATAAACGGTATCAGTTGGAGATTCTCATTCATGTCAGTCCCTTCTCTCGCTTTTACACCAGCAGTCACTCAGCCAGCAATTCACTGGGTGCTCTGGTGTGACCCGCGCCAGCCTCGCTATGAATTTCAACTCTGGGATCAAGCTGTGAACAAGGCTAAGTTAGCTGCACACACGCCCTGTTGAGTTTTTATCAGTAAAACGTCTCTGTTCGGTCTCGGCGGTCCAATCACACATCAGCCGAGTATTTATCTGAGAGAAAGGAGAATTTTCAGGTTCAGAGCCCAGTGTCCAGCAAGGCAAACACAACAAGCTCCTCCGACTTTGTCTTTTGAAGTGTCTTTACTAAAATCAATGTCCTGGCCACTGAAGAGTAAACCTGCCTTTGTTTGAGGCATTAGGGGCTCCACAGTGAGTCCTTTGAGTGCAATGATAGATCCAACCTCTTTAATTACAGACCAGGAGGGCAAACGATGAGACTCACCTCCCATTACAGGAAAACTGAATTAATTCCTTGGTATTATACATGCTTTTATCAAGAAATCATCACCGCACATCAGGGATAATGTATTGTATATTTTATGTGCCTTTCAAACATGAAAAAAAAAAAAAAAAACCTGCTGCCATTTAAGTATTAAATATTCAGGTTTTGATTTTCACCCAGTAAGAAGCAAAAGGAAAGCATTAGGATGTCTGGTGTCGCAGTACGTCTGTTACATGATTTGGGGACACTTTGCAGGCTTATATCTGGTCTGATCTTTACATACCTATCTGAGGAAAACCAGACTCCTGTCACTTCAGCACATCAGTGCATTCCAATGTGAGCATAAGGAGTCCTCCTTGACTTGCAAAAGGAGCATCTGAAAAGTCTTAATGTTGGGTGGAAAACAGGCCTTATATGAGTGAAGCCACACCACAGCTGTGAGGGCTCGATCCCCCATGTGGCTATCCTTGCTAACCTGTCCTTGAGCTGGAGACTTAATCCCTCACATTGAGGGGGGTGGACTACCTGTCTGACCCAGCCAGATGACGAAAAGATACCAAATATCTGCAGGTTTTTCAGCTATTAGTCATTCTTTTCCAGAGTTTCCCGGTGATATAGATGTGGATTGAAGGGTTAATTATAATGACAAACCTGATGTGTTTTAGGGTTTTTGATTATCAAAACTTTAAAATGGTGTTAAATCAAGTCTGACAAATGTGGTGGAATGTAACAACATTTACTCAAGTACTTAAGTACAAATTTGAGGAACTTTACTTGAGTATTTTCTTTTCATGCCACTTTCTACATCTACTTTACTCAGAGGGAAATATTACTATTATAGTACTTTTTACTATTTTTGAAATATTTTTGCATACAAAACATTCAAAAAGCTTATAAGATTCCTCCGATTTACTTGTAAAGGAGTATTTTTGCAGTGTGGTATTAAAACTTTAACTTAAGTAAAGAGTCTGAACACTTCCTCCCCCACTGCTGCACTCTATGAATCTACTGGAGGAATTCCTGCTGGTTAAAAAACATAACAAAAAACATTTTGAAATTAGTTTTGGTAAACCTGACTCACCTCTGTCTGGTGATGAGGTTGACGTAATGCCTGACAGCTGCGTGGTATTTGGCCCAGTCCTCCGGTGAGGCGTTGCTCCCCGGGCTCTCCGGTTTGGGAGGGTAGGCGTCCGCGAAGCTGCTCAAACACACCAACAGGCAGACGGCGAGCGCCGCAAGCATCATCCACGATCTCAGCATGTTGGCCATCTGAGGAGAAGGAGGAAGACCATGCTTTGGATTACACTGAAACTTGACATTTTTGTTGCCTGTTAAACTTTTGTTGAAGTCGAAATATGATGTTGTAGTGTTTAAGGTTCTGTTGCATTCCACACGTTTTAAAGTGCCTTTAAAGTATTTCTAATATCATATGAAAATACAGTAATTCACATTAATTCAATGATAAATTACAGGCAAAAATCTTTCTAGAGTAAAAATCAAGATGCATTAAACTAAAGTAACAGAGAAGTAAGATAACTTACTTTTTGACAGTTGTCTCCTGATGTAGTCACTCCGGTGGTGCGCCTGTCTTGCTGCGGTCCTCCTGGTTCACAGGGTTATATAGTGTGGGATGGATACCTGATGCGCACTGAGGAACTGTTTAACCACACCCCTCGCTTCAGCAGCGTCATTATCTCTGCAAAACATTTAAACTAGTTTCAATATTTGACTTTTAGCTGAATTCAGTTCAGTATTGAGCTTGGATTTTGCAGTTGGGGTTTTATGTTGCTTGAAACTTGAAAATGTAAGAGTGATCGATTTCACCTTGTTATAAAAGGTTGCAACACACGATTAAAAATGTATTGATAAACGGAACCCTGCTGGATTTCCTTTGGATGCTGTCCGATCAGCACCACGGACAGCGCCAAGAGACCATAATGTATTCCCCCGCCATGTTTAATGAGTTCAAGCCATGGTCCACATAGGTTAAAGGCAGCTTCAGCACAGTAAGCACCACGTGTAAACCGAGTCTTAAGGTTTACTGGTTCATTCATTGTATGGGATGTGCTTCCTAGCGATATGTGATGTAACAGTCCTGTAGGTGAAACTTTTTGGGGTGCAAGGGGGTGGAAGCGATGCGCAGCGAACCTCAGCACATTGTGGAAGGCACACAGTATTTTCAGAAGAATAGATATAAACCTGCACCCATCCACAGTGAGGTCCTTTCTCTCAGCACTCAGCAGGCTTACAGAGGACGAGACCAACTGTTCACCTCGAAATGGCCCAGAATGGAGAGAGCACAACATGACAACAATCAGAGAATAATACAACTGGCCCTTCACACCTGAAATGATGGCCTGCACAGCACTTCAGAAAGCACAATCAACAATCAGACCTGCTGCAATATTGGTAGCAAGAACTTCTGTATTTTCTTATTTTTATAACAACACCAACAAATTACAGACAATACAACAGGTTGTTGATTACATTTTGATTGTTCTCTCTCTCTCTCTCTCTCTCTCTCTCTCTCTCTCTCTCTCTCTCTCTACCCCGCTCCCCCCCTCCAACAACTATTCAAAAAGTCTTACTTTGAAGAAGATATTTTAACACACAATATCAACTTTATAAAAATCTATATAATGTACAACCCATTCAGTAAGAAACGTTACTGTATTAGTGAGCTTTCTTCTTCAATTCTGCAAAAAGAAAAGGGAAAATGCCAAGCGCCCTTTAAATGTAGTGCTATATCCAATATTCACATGCCATTAATGCCACCGTGAATAGTAGGCAAATTAATTTGTTGTCGCTTTTTATATATATATATATATATATATATATATGTGTGTGTGTGTGTGTGTGTGTGTGTGTGTGTAATTAATTAGGGTGAATTTCTTACTGTGCAGTTGTAATCAGAGTCATCCAATTGTTTTATTGACTCCAATCTATTCAGTGCGTGGGTAATTAATGAAAAAACACATTCATCTCTGTGTAGCCACCAAAATTACATTCCATTATATAGATAAGAATGAAGACGGACAAATTGTCCCCAACTTTGTGAAGCACTGGACAAATGTAAATTAATTTGTGTTATTTCATTAATATTAAGTGCGTCTTATCCAGGAATGATGTAGCTTAACTTGTCTAATCAGTAGCCCCTTTACCTTTGGCTTTCTACGCATTCATCACTCCTGCATCTATTATTCAGATGGTGATGAAACCATTAATGTGGTCTGGAGGTAGAGGTCAAGCTACGGCATGCACAGATCAATAATGCCATTGTCTTGCACACGCACATTTTGACTGCACTAATTCTCCTATGACTGAACTGAGCGGTTCACTGAGGTGTTGCTGCATTAAATATCATTTTTATTATGTTGCCTTTTCAATCCGTATCACCACCACAGAGACTCTGAGGGTGGGTGTGCACTGCTGATGCTGATGTGACATGAGAACATACTCGCACAAAGACATTGTGTACACAAATACCTTTCAGGTCCCAAGAGCTGACAAATGTAATCGGTCGCACATATGACCGATGCAGTGGCTCCTGTTTATCTTGGATCTTCACGGTCTGCTGTTCAGTTCATGACGCCTGAAGTTGTCCCTTATCCAACAGTGCAGGGGCAGTGATCTCTTTTAAGTGTGTGTGTGTGTGTGTGTGTGTGTGTGTGTGTGTGTTTGTGTACACACATGTTGAGGGGTTTCTGCCCATATGTTTGCATAAAAGATAGAGATGTGCATCCGATTTTATGCCAGATGTGAAACTCATATCATTTATTTATTGTTTTGTGAAAATCTGTGATAATAGTTTGACATTTTGGGGAATAAACTTTGCTTAATAGTGGAGAGTTGAGATGAGAAGATGTATAGGAGTGGTAATAAACTTCTCTCTGCAATAAAACAAATAAACAATTAATATACTTGCTAATGTTAATGTAACAGTAGCAAGTAGGTGTAGATTGTTTTATGTATTTGTACTGTGAAGAAAATGAATGGGTGTTACAGTGTTCATTCATTCATTTGCAACATATTGTACAAATGTAGATAGAGTGTTATAAAGAGCAAAAAGGAAGCTTTAATAATATTTTACAGTCTTGCTGTATAAGAGTAGGATCAGCAATGTATAAGATCATGGATGGAAATGTCGGTGCCATAAAACATATCAGCAGACCCTCCCCGGGGACGTCAGTGACAACATTTCTCATGTGCTGTTTATAGAGTTGTAAATAAAACAAAGGTTTTTTCCTTTGTTTGTCCCTAAGCTCTTGTCAAAAGCACAACTTGATTTGGGCATAAATTCCCACTGACAGTCTCTGTGGAGCCGCAGCTGTTGTTGACAATAACCTAGCAGTTAAGGTGTGTATGACCATACCATAAAGGGTTTAAGTGGATTGTGGTATTACACATTGATTGCACTGACCATTTCAGAGCAATTATTGTACCATAATTCAAACTGATATTGAGGGACAATTATTGTCCTGAGTTTTTTTTTGATGCCAAAATAGCAAAATGGAACCTAAATTGGAAAATCGTGGCTTTTACAATCTGATGAGTTGGCACTGAAAGAAATAAAGAGCTAAAAGTGATTAAATCATGAATAAATCATCTTCCGTTCAAGGGGAACTGATATGTGTCCTCTCGGCTGTAATCACCGATTTCCCACAGCTAACGGTGGCTATCCTGAACATTTAGTTAATTCTACTCCAGTAACCAACCTCTCTGCGTTCACTCTGCAGGCCATAAAAGCCAATGGCAAGAAACAACAATTTGCACAAGAAAAACTCATTAGCTATCTCCAGTGTTTGTAGGTAAACACAGAGGGGCACAGCCCCCAGATAAGGGAAAGGGCAGACAGTTAAAGTTTTCACAGTCCAATAAACCCCAGTTAATGCACTCCTGAAGAGCAGTTTGGGCTTCTACAGACAGGAGAAGTGTTTGAGTTGCCATCAAGGTCGAGATAATAGGAACTGTATGAGGCTACTGATTTTCAAAACTTTTTATCTCATCTTGTTCAGTTTTGCCAACTTTTCCATCTGACGCTACTGCTAATGACGTCTCTATGACTTTGTCAAGCAAGACAAAGAAAGCTGACATAACCCTTTTCTAGCTGAGAGCAATAACTTGGAACAAATCACAATGTTGGAAATCTACTTACTATAGGCATACCTGTGCTCCACAGACGGAGCTCTAAAAGCTTTTCTCCTCAACCTGTCTCCACCATTTCCATTTGCATGACACATGCAGCCTAGTCCATATACAAAAGGAAGATTACACACATGCACGCGTACAAAAGTCAATTCTGGTGTAAGAGCAATCCCTCAGGAGAATGTCTGACTCCTTCCTGCCATCATAGACAGAAAGGGGGAAATGGTTATGTGTTTTTATTTAGCCTTATCTCTAGAGTGGGAGAGCCACTAATATGAACAGAGTGCTTTTCAGGCAGCCAGGTCTGTTTGCACAGCTCAGGAGACAAAATGAGGGGTTGATGGCTGCCCACTGCCACAGTGCAATAATTCATGACCATATCTATGGCTCTAAAAGAGGAGTGTTAGCCAGAAGCACTGGAGAGGACTAGTGAGCAAACAATGAAATATCCCTGTTTAACCTTCATGTTACAGACCTTTCTGTCTTTGTTGGGAGGAATAAACACACTCACACAGAATTGGCCTCCTCGTAACAGCAGAGTCATGTAAACAATGAGTGCAAGAGCCAAATTCTCATTTGGTTTCCAACACAGCAACGATGCCTCATGCTATTCTGTTTCCCCCAGAGGACCGAAGATACTCCGCCGACAGCGGCATCACTTACACCATTTGTCTTTTCTGGAAAGCAGAGCTGACCAATTACAGCAATATCCCACCGACTGATGTGTTTATGAGCAAGCTGGCGATGGCAGCTTCAGGTAACTCTGATGGATGGGGAGACAGGTGTTAGGGGGGCTCGGAAAGGTTGATGGTTTGATTCAGAGCTTGCTCTCAAAGTCACTACAAATTAGGGAAGTCAGAGTGCTATTTATGTATCGAAATGATGACGATGAAGTCTTACTCACTCACTCTCTCTCTCCCTCTATATTCTAGGCATCTGATTATGAGTAGATATTCCGTAAAGTTAAAGCGTCACACTACCAAACAAGATGAAGTTGTACTAGATGTGACTCAATGCGTTCATGAGTCACAGCGGACTGGACAGAAGCTGTAAATAGCCGATTCTGCCCGCAAGGTGAGGAGATTTCAGGTCTCAGGAGGGTTGACTCAGGATCTCTTCCCAATGGACACCAATTACACAAAACATGAAATTTGCGTGTTTCTCTCATTTCTGGGGAACTCTAAATAAGGAATAGGCTCCACGGTCCTACAGATGCAGCATACATACAAATGCTCACCACAATCAATTCTTATAGTTAATTACAGCAGTTGAGACACATGTAACTGAACCGGTGTAGTCATCAATACCCTAATTAAACCATTTCTCATTGTTTTCCAGGACTACATACATATGTGTTACTGTCTATCTTAACAAAGATTTTACAATAGATTGCTTTTTTTGGTGAAGGGAAACTTGAGGAAAATAGCTTGCATGAGTCAGAATAACCAGGGATTTTTATTTTAGGCCAACAGCAAACACCCCCCCAAGTTCAGATATCAATCACTTTGATTCTCTGGCTTAGAGTTGTGTGTGAGAGGCCATATATCAGGAGCACCTTTGAACAACAAGGGATGGTGATATTGGAGTAGCCTGAAGTGTAGGTGAAAGAAAATGGCTGATGTTCAAGTGATATACCATCAAAATCTCAGAAAATGAACACATGAACGAGAAACAAACAAACAAACAAAACAAAAGCAGCTCTGTGAAGGTATAATGTTTGCCATGTTCACCATCTTATTTTAGTGTTAGCATGGTAACATTTGCAAATTAGTCATAAACAAATTAAAACATGAATGTGTGTTAAAAATGTCATGCTCCTCCATCTAATAATATAATTAAACTCATAACCGTAAAGCTAATTAGAATCCATCCTCTGGGAACCATGACTTATATATAACGTATAACATTTGGTCCTAATTCACCTAGTAGAGCAGATCTTAAACTTTTCCAATGCCAAGACCCCTTCAAATAGCATTAGCTTATGGCCAGGGGACCCCTTTTGCAATTGACTATAGTGTATATAATACGTTTTTGATACGTCATCCTCTAAGGAACATGGATGTACAAAATGTTATCGCAATCCATCAAATAGTTATCTCCAAAACAAACTGTCTGGAACAAGGCTACATTGGCATTCCCAGACTTGTGCAAAAATTAATATTTGGATTATATTAAGTGGTTTAAGTGGCGTCATAATGTATTATCAGCATTTCTGACAACAGTCCGACAAATATTAACCATAAGTAACACTTTAGGCCAAAATATACTTACACCTTCTTGCCATTTTCTGATTTCTACCAAAGAATAAGTGATGCGATTTCTGCTGGACCACAAATTTATTGAGCCCTTGGGTCATGTAACACATAGTTTTATCTTAATATCATGGCCACAACAAGCATCCTCTCAGTACTGCAAACCAGCATCAGATTAACATGTAGTAAGCCATCTCGAACATCTTCATCATCACAGCCATCTCCATCCTCCATAGCTCCATCTAACCTGCAGGCCATCTGTATTTCCCTTTAAAAGTGAGATGAACGATGTTAATCAGCACAGGGGAGCTCTGTGCATCCCTCAGCTCCTGCTTGTCCAGCTATAATAAAGCAGTCTGCCTGTAGCAGTAATTACTCTCATCTGTCTCAGTCATATAAGAAAAGACCCGACTGGATAAAAGCTCCACTCAATGGCCCCTTTCTGGCAGCCCATGTCACAAGTTGAACCAAAGCACCGACCCCATTCCTAAAAAATTACAATTATTAATTCTTGATGAAAAAGGGACTTGAAGGGCAAAAGAAATGTTTTATGGTCCTGACTAATCACAACTATATGTGTATAGCATTAGAATGTTATATAGTGTAAACAGAATGAGACTGGGTTTTACAAAGACTTTTTTTTATTCATTTGAAGTCAGCATCAGATGCTGGGTACCCCAAATGTCTGCCACTGAATTTACCCTTTAAAGTTTCATCATTTTAGAGCATTATTTTTAACAGAAATGTACTAAAACCAAGCTACATCTTAAACATAAAAAGTAGGCTAATCAGGAAATCTTATTCTGAAACAAACTCATAACTACAAATATATTGTATACATTGAACACATTACAAACCTCTGACAAAGCCCATATTTACAAATTTAATAATCAGTGCTTAGTTAACAAAGCAATGGTAACACTCCTTCATGTCCCACTCTCAAGGGTTAACACAAGTAGCAGTAATGCCATCTTTGAATCAAAACCAAAAAAAAAAGAAAGAAAACTTCTTGGATCCAACAGAGATATCTGAAATCAGTCCCTTCTAAGCACTCCCTGCTTCTTTCTCTAGCAATGTATCTACCATCTTAGGCAAGAAGGCTTCCAGGAAATGAAAGAAGTCCTGAAAAACTCCTGTCTTGTCACTGGTTGGCTCCAACGTGAGCACTGCCTTTGTGCTTTCTGTCTCGCCCACTATCTGAGGCTGAACCTTGAACTCCAGGGGTTCCTTGAGCTCTGGCTCTTTTTCAATAATGTGAGCTGTGACCTGGGACTCCAGGTCCATGCAGCTGCCCTCAGGCCTCGAGTCACTATCTTTGATCAGCTCCCGTCTCACTTTCCTCCTGCCGGCCCACACCATGTGCTTTTGCACACACATCCAGTGAGGCAATCCAGGCTTGCCCCTTTTTGCCAGTCTTGGCTTTTTGCCTTGAGGCGACACAGAAGCATCACTGCCAGAGGATAGTCGCCTCTTGGCACCGACCACAGCTGGACCCAGAGGGCTGGCTTCGTTCTGGGATTCAACGCTGTCAAAGCTGTCATTGGTTGATGTGTTGAGGGAAGCCGAGGGAGTTTCCATTTCATCAGCAGCATCGGCAGCTGAATCCTCACCAAAGACGGCGTCTGTGGAGGGAGTGACGCGGCACCCGAGAACACCTTGGAAGACGCCCTCCACAGCAGAGCAAACCTTCTGAAACCACAGCAGTCGGAAACCATCCCCCGCCATGTGCAGCTGAGTACGCAGCACTTCAGTGAGCGACGCTGATTTGAAGGGGATGCTGATGGTCAGCTGCTCTCTTTTAGTATGTGGGACCTCACCGTGGGGGGTCAGCAAGCGCACCAGCCCCCATGACTTGCCCTTGGTGGATTTGCGCTGGTACTGCAGGCTGCGGCAGTACTTGTCAGCCTCCTGGCACTCCCTCTGGAAGTTGCGCTGCGAGCGTTCATTCAGGTTTCCAGCTACATTGTGGGAGAGCTCAAAGGGGTCTAAGAGATTTAGGGGGCCCAGTTTGGGACCGCGGTGATGGGCCTTGGTGGGCTTTTCCTCTTGCATGGCCTCCTCCTTTTTATTCTGGCTGAGGAAATCAGTGATTGGGAGCACACGCCCATCCCTGACAGATATGACACCACTGGCAAAATCAAACTTAGCATAGAAGGAGAAGAAGCCAGCGAGCAGGGTGCCTAGATAGAGAAAACATACATGTTTATTAAGAGTGCTAATGCTGGCAATGTATTAAAGGGTACTTAAATCATGAAGAAGCTAGGTTATATCTGACCAACAAATCACACGATTCATTTTCCCTTTAATTACTCTCACTTACAGAGGTCTTGTTTATTCTTACTGGGGGGCACCGCAATAGGCTGACTAGGGAAGGTGCAGTCCCAGCCCTCAATCACACACTCTTCCTCCTCACCTGCAAAGACGTGAACACAAAAAGATACATAAATAGGTGAACAAATAGCATATAACTGAAATGACACTTTGAGGTAATATGTCAAACACATATGACTTCTGTGGTAATCAAATTAGGCTTCGCAAACTGTGCAGATTACTTCTGTTTTCTCCAAAGACCCATCAGGCACCTTTTTAATGTGCAACTTTCCACTTAATACTCTGTCCGTCAATCTTACAGAAGGATGGTTCAGGGTTAGCAGCACGCATTGTCATAGGTGCAGCTGCATTAATTACAGTAGTTGTTTTTTTACATGTTAAATACTTCAAATTAATAGCAAAAAGAATTAAAACGTTAATTTTGACAACACTAAAAAATATATAACTAAGACAACCTTGATGCAAAATTAATACTCCACCATATCATCAACATGGCTGCCAATTTACGTACTTTTCCAGATTTTATGATTTTCATTGCTATATTTTGTCACAGCGACTTATACATTACAGTCGTTGTTGAAGAATCCTCTCACTCCAGCAGCTGCCTCAGGGACTTTACGCAGCTCTGTCTCTGATCATCCTCAGTTGTACATGAGTGTAACGTCACCTACTGTAGGCTATAACATTCTCCCATATAAGATCCACGTTAATGTCACATCCCAGTGAGGTTCATTCCCTCGTTATTTTTGTCGCTGTACACTGTACTGATGACACGTCCCTGACAGCTGCAATATTAATATTTTCTTCTTGTTTCAGTAATATGACCACCGATGCTGCTGAACTTGGAATCCACTGATTTGTGACAGGAGGAGGAGAAGCTCTGCAGTGTGAAAGCCTTCTTTTTACTCTCTGTGCGGACACGTTCAATTGACAAAAAGTGTTACCGGAGTGGAAGCAGTGGCCTTATATGGCAACTTTAGGGGCTAATGATGAAACCTCAGAAACGCACACTTCCTAATGAACGGGCAGCTTTCAGACTGAAACAAACAGTTTGACAAGTTTGTGCAGTTAAGAGATCGCACGAACAAGCCTTAGAGAAAGTAGTACAATGGTTAGTTAGGATAGGAATACAAAAATGGACGTAGGAGCAATGCAGCACTTACAGGCCATGTCTTTGAGCTTGTCCACTGTGGGGAGGACAGGAGGTTCACAGTTTTGCAGGAAGAAGATGATCAGCAGTGTCAGAGCGTAGTTGTTGAGCAGGGGACCGGCACCACTGGGATCACCTACAAATCACAATGCAAGTGTGGTAGTGTTGACTAGAGGAAACTATCATTAGTGCAATCCTGTGCACGTGTATATACAGGATACAGTCAAAATAAAACATCTTTGTATGGGTATGGAGGGGCTTTTGTGGCAGTGTTTTGGTTCTAAAGGGCCAGATCAAGGTTAAGTCATACAAAAAACAACAGCTCTATTACACTGATGTTAAAGGGAATCTATACCAGTGTAAAGCCAGGTTGTTGGTTTTTTTTAAAGAAATGGTACAGCACTCATTTTGTTAATTATTTCATGTTAACAATTTCAATTATGTCATCAAGCAAACTAACCCTGGATCTGCCAATCAAATCTCGGTTGACATCTCATGCAACGGCCAATGTTACCACTTACAAACTCTTTGTGACTGTGTTTCACAGTTTTCTTTTAGTTTAAATGTTAAACCAGTAGGTAACCCTCAAGTTTTGTTGGGTTTATGGTACAAAAAATAATTTTCCGTGAAGTAAGTAGGTTACTTTTTCATAAAAAAAAAAAAATCATCATATTTTTTAAGACGATTTATTTTTTGGAACTTGGCAACACTATTTATGCAATCACTTGGATTACAGTAGTTACGCGCAACCAATCCCATCATGCTTTACTTATCACTCTGCACAAGTGCCTTGTTTAAAGCTGCATTGGCAGCTTGGAGGCTACTGTTCCATCAAAGGGAGTAAGGGAGATATGCCCCAGGAGTAAAGGTAATTAGTGTTCTCTTTTATTCTATATCAGGAGACACAGACTCCAATATCACAGCACAAAAGGAGCTGCACTTTTTTTAACAACAAGGCACTAAAAGGCACTGCAAATCAGTGTGTCCTGACAGAGCCCAATGTGATCATAAGGCGCAAGTAAAGATCTACTGACACCTGTTGTCCAAAAAATGCAATAACTACCTAAAACCACCTGATACAACAGACTAATCTTAGGTTTAAAGAACTTGATCTGTTTTTAATCACAAACAGAACTAAAGCATATGCTATGCTCCAAGATGCAAGTCATTTCATCTTACCAGCCAGCTGCTTTTGCTTGGCCCAGTAGCGAATGGTGTACACCAGAGGCCTCAGCCTGTCCTCCATCCCTGAACAAATCTGGAGGAAGCGGGTGTTCCTTACTGCTAGTCTAGTGAGGGATACAGGACAGGAGAAGCATACAGTAATTCTGCTCCCTGTACAAGATGAAAACATTTATCACCACATCTGAAGACTTTTGATGCTACACAGCATCAAGTAAATCTAAAAAGATCCATCAACTGACCTGTTGTTAATGGTGATGTCGCCCTGCAGGTTAAGCTCGCGGTGATGGAACTTGACTACAGGGAGACGAGCGCTGCCGACCACGTGGACTTTGTGCACACTGGGGACACAGCGTCTCAGGATTGCTGCCACAAGGTCCAGGACCTCGGCTGGAGAGGCAGTGGACAGGTCAATGTCAGACAGAATGGAGTCCTCAGAGTGGCCATCGTCTGACGTTCCCTCCCCTGTCTGAAGAAAGAGGGAAGGAGGACGGTTCAGCACACAGCGTGCCCCCCTATGAAGTTACATTGTTTTATATTTTGGCTGTAGATTGTCCGACCTGTTCTGCGGTGGACTTGGCTCGGGCTTGGAACACCTTTGTGTTTTCCAGGTCCAGGAACAAGTCCAAGTCACAGGAGTGGATGCCGAAGGTGTTGACAGATGAACCAAACGGCAGAATCTGGCTGTCTGCAACCCATTCAAACAGAGCATTCAAAGTGACAGAGTCAATATGCCATGACAATCTTTCGCCCAATTATCATTGTGTCAGACAAGACTTCATAAACGGACTCTGTGTGTTTACAAAGGTCACCTGGGAAAAACTCTACGAAAACCTCTTGCAGGAGTTGAACCAGCAAGCCTCGGGCCTTCTTTTCGTTTTCTCCCAGCTGACATCGCTCTACAATGTACTGCATCTGTGCATCCACCTGGAAAGAACAACCTTTGTTAATACACATACATGTTGTAATTAGGGGGTTTATTCTCACGGACAAACTAAAGTCCAAACATACAGTATATTAATCTAACAGTATCTGACTGAGGTTTGTCGGTGCATACGTTTCATGTGAGTGTAAATGACAAAGGTACATCAGTTTCTTGTACGGATGGGATGATAAACGATATTTTTGCATATCACAATAAAAAACACTTCATTTCTATTACTGTGATAATTGTGAATATCCTCACATGACTTTATTTTGGCTAAGATAATCGTGAAATGAAATTCTCACATCGTCCTTTGCCAATTTCCAACAGTATGTGCCAATAACATTAGTTAGTATATTATAAGCTGCACTTTACATTAAAAAACAGGATTTTATGGTTAATATAAGATATACTGTAGTATGTAACTAAACTGAGACGTAATCTAATACATATATTTGACAACAGGTTACTTACAGACAACAACTGACACAGCTGAGGTTTGAGACGGTCGAGAATTTGCTGGAGGTTCTGGAAGTCGTTCCTCTTCTTGGGAATCAACTTGAACTCCTTCTTTTCCCGAGGTTTGACGCGCAGCTTCAAGCCTTTCATCTGATGCTCAACACAGGACAGGGTTGCCTGTACGCCGTCGGTCTCATTGAACTGGACGATGGCGTACACACCCTGTGAGCGCAGAGTGACACAGCACAGTCAGATCACAACGGGGTTCATCAGTCACTTCCCATACACTGCTAAATGAACGTCAGTGCGTCTTGGTATGGACACACAAACTCACTTTGAGGCTATAGACAAAGTTAAAAAATGAGCTGTATCTCACTGTGAACAGCTGACTGACCTTGTCTTTATCCATGATAACATCTGACACCGGCCCATACTGCTGGAAGTACTCGACCACGTCAGTCTGAGAGATGTCAGGCTTGATGCCACTGACAAAAACACTGTGCTGCTCCTGTGTCTTCCTGGTAGTCCGCACAGTGCTCAGCGTCTTATGTTTCCGCCCTTTGACATGCTGATCCAAGCTGGGTACTGAAAAGAAATTAAAATATGAACAATGCTGCATCAGAATTTTTTTTTTTTTTAAATATCATAGTTTGTTTAGCTAACAAACCAAGCAGACTGTATGTAGTATATCAAACATATTTAGATAGTACAGTAACACTTTAGCAATACCGGACATAAAAGCGTTCATTTTTGAAGTGAGAGCTCCTTTAAAGCTCAAAGATTTTCTTCGAGAAATACTGTAATACACCAGGCTGGAAAAGGTTTCGAGGGGTTTACAAAACGAGGTCAACTTCAAGTTTAATTGACTCTCATGTGGCTAAGTTAGCTTAGGATACTTACGGTTGGGTAAGTGGACGTTACATAAAGTGCACTGGAAGCCTTTGGGCGTCGATTTTATGTCGCTGTCCGCCTCCATGATGGCAAAACGTAAAGTCTAGCGATAAAGCAAAAAGTAAATTAACCACTAAGTCAAAAAAAAGTTGGAGGTGGACGGCTCTCCATGCGCCTCTCAAATCTCCCTCCAGCGTCAACTCTGCGTTTGTTTCGAGTCCGTCTCAAAAATGAGTCCGGGTTGTTCTCGTGTTTCAACACAAAGTTCCGGTCAGTCTAATTTGATCTATTTGTGTTGCAAACCCTGAAACAATGCGAATAATCTTTACCTGAGACTTTTCTGTGAGACACGTATGTGCTTATTTTAACTTTGCTCTATAGTGAATGTTGGAATGTATTAACGTACTGTTTACGTAACCTACCTAAACCTAATTCAACTGTCATGTCTGAAAAATGGCAAATGTTTTGAAAGAGGCCTTAAACAAGGAAGTTTTCTTGAAGCCTTTAAATAAGTGAAGCTCAGTGGAGTTGTTCTCTTCTCGTCCATTTATCAATTCACATTTGCGTACCCCTGCTCGAAAGTAATGTTTTATGTGCTGGGAATAAACCAATCTTATTTTTCCTCTTGCCTCAGCTTTTAAAAATCAGACCTGTACCAACACTAAGTTACAAATGACAGCAAATGTAATGGCATCTCTTCTGTCTCATCTTCCAGCCCTTCCAGTAACTGACAAAAACATGAAAATGAAGCCCAGTCAACAGAACAGCTTCTGTATCTACAGCAGGCTACATATGAGATACATATCAGGTATCAGTGCTTTTACAATGTCTTTCAAGCAGTTTGGTAAATGATCACCCCAGACACTTAAACACCATATACGGGTGTTTGGCTTACCAAAGACAGCTTTGGACACAGACAAATTCAGGCCATTTTTTTTTTCCATTGTACACAAAATTTAATAACTTTTTTCACCATAAAAATATCTGCAATGTAATGAAGTAAAGAATAACATACAACTTGTCACAACATATATGGTTAATACGAGATTCCCTGCTGAATTGAAAACAAAAAAAAAAAGCAGTGCTTCATTTCAGTCTATAAAACTACTTTCTAAAACACAGTACAATCTAAAAAATGACAAGTACAAAAAGATTTTAAAAGGGGAAAAAAACCATTATGATTCTGAATATATACAAAGGCTTTTATTTCTTTACTGATCTTCCTCTTCTGGTTTTTGGCTGCGTCTCAGCCTCAACACCTTTCACCTCGCTTGTGGACTCCGCTTCGTCAATGGTTACATCAGCGACCTTTGCCCCTCGCCTGGCTCTCTTGGCGGGCTGAGCTTCGACAACTTTATCTGAGAGATCCTTCTCTTCAGTTTTGCTGGCATCTTCCGACACATTTTTGCTTTCAACTTGGTCTCCAAGTTTTGATTTCCTCCCTCGGACCGCCTTTACAGGTGTTCCTTTTGGAATGTTGAAGACTTCCAAGTCACTTTTCCACTTGACAGATCTTTTGGACATTTTTGTGTCTTCCACGACAGCATTGCTTAAATCTTCAGTGGGACTGGCATCATCTGTTGTGGGCTTTGCTGCTGCACGTCTCCCCCTTTTGGCTGGCTCTACTGAAGCTGGTGCAGCCTCTGATACCTGGACTGTGGATTCTGCGTTAGTCTCCTTGACGGGAAGAGTCGCACCACGGTGGGCTCTCTTGGCTGGAATGGCTTGTGAAACCTCATTTTTCACCCCCCTTGCTCTGCTATGTTTAATGACTGGAGCATCCAGCTCAGCTGTCTTCTGCTCTTCAGCCTCCAGCTCAGGTTTCTCCTCTGGTACAACAGCAACTTGTTTCCCTCTCCTACCCCGTTTGGGTTTGTCTGTGGAGCTGACTGTGGGGATCTCTTGGACTTCAGTGAATTCAGCAGGGCTTTCACTCTCAGTGTCTGCTTTTGCTTTCCGCCCTCCTCTCCTGGGTTTTGCAGCCACGGTAGCCTGTTCATCCATCTTCACTGGCTCAGCAACCAACGGAGCTTTAGGTTCCTCTGGAACAACCTCAACAGTTTGGACTTCTTCTCTTGGTTCTACATGTTCTGGCTCTGCCTTCCTGGTTCTCCTCAATTTCTTAACTGGCTCCTGGGATTTAGCTGTCTCAGCTGAAGTTGTCTTCTCATCGTTCTCTAGCTTTTCTTCTTCCTGTTTGGTATTTCTTCCCCTCTTGGCCCTGACTGGAGGCTGAGACAGTGGTTTGGTCTCCACAGTGACAACTGTGTCTTCTGCCACCTCATTTTCTTCAACAGGATCAGGTTTTGTCTTTCTCCCTCGTCTGGGTTTCCCAAGAGTAGAATTGGTCTTTTGAGGCTGAGCTTCTGCCATAAGCTGCTCATCACTCACAACTTCACTTTTCTCCTGCTCTGGTTGAGGTGGCTCAACCGGTGTTGGTTTAGTTTTTCTACCTCTAATGGGCTTCACGACAGCTTCCTCTGCAGGGGGTACGCAATCATTTTCATCTTGGTGGGTATTTATGGGAGAAGTCTGGTCACTCACTGCTTCATTGGAATTCTCAGTCACCAGTGTTTCCACAGCTTTCTCTGGTAGCATTTCAGGTTGATCAGAGGTGCTTTCTTGAGATTTAGCATTTTTGCGTCTTGACGTTTGTCTAACAGCAGGTGGTGCAGTAGCTTCAGTTTTCTTCCCTCTTCTTCCTCTGACTGGAGCAGGGACAACAGGATCTTTAGATTCCACCACTTTCGCCCGTCTGCCTCTAACAGATTTCTTCTGAACGACAGCTGCATCCATTTCTGTGACTGTGCAAGTCTCCACTTCAGGTAAGCTCTCAGTTGCAGGTGCCTGGGTGTCCATGACATCTGATGATTTATTTTCATCACTTCCACTGGGCGCCACCTCCAGCTGATCACTGTAGACTTCATTAGACTCAGATTCTAAAAAAAATACGAGAAAACAAAGGAAAAATATTTATATTTATAGTGGTTGAGCATTCAACTATTAAATAACTGATCATTTAAAAACCAGACACACTGGTCAGGATTTTAGTTTTTACTAATGAAATACTATGACAAGGACCAAACATTAATGCTGTAAAAACACTGGCTGTAAAATGAATGTTTGTTTGGAGCTAATTCAAATGTCACCATGTCTCGCTTTGGTTAATAGGACATTCACAATAGTTTACTGTCTCAGGAATGGAAAACACATGCAATTAGATTCCCTCACTTATACATATGCTGCATGGGGTCAGAAACTGTTAAGTGATTTCACTTTCAGAACAAACCTTTTGCTGCGTCAGCATTAGGAACATTGTCACTGTGAGTACAAGGCACATCTTCCTGCTCTGGCACAGGTTGTTTAGTTTTTCTTCCTCTCTTGGGTTTCAACACAGCCTTCTCAAGGGGTGCTTCATTTGCTTCATGGTTGACATCAACTGGAACACTCTGCTCACTCTCAGGTTCTGGCACCGTTTCAGTTTCAGCTGCAAACTCTTGGACCATTTCGGCTTGATCATCAGAAGCTTTTTTGGCATTTCTTCCTCTTTTAGGCTTAAGGTCGACTTTGGAAGGCACAGAGGCAGTTTTCTCCATGGCAAGCTCAGCATCCTTGCTTTCAGTGGTCTTTGCATTTCTGCTTCTTGTCGTTTGCCTAACAGCGGGTGGTGCTGCAGCTTCAGTTTTCTTCCCTCTTCTTCCTCTGACTGGAGTGGGGACAACAGGATCTTCAGAATGTTCTGTTGCCTCCTGTTCATCATCAGGTGATTTGGATTCCACCGTTTTTGCCCTTCTGCCCCGAACGGGTTTCTTCTCATGGTCAATATCTGTTGCAGTTGTCTCCATTTCTGAGACGTTGCCAGTAGCAGTCTCCACTTTAGGTTGTTCTTCAGATACAGTCTCATGCACTGCATCCACAGGTAAATTCTCATCCACTGCTGCTTGAGAGAGAGTTTCCATGGCTTCTGATGATTCATTTTGTACGCTTGGCACCTCCTGTAAGTGGTCATCACCTACAACTTCATTGGCATCCGCTTCTAAAATAGGACCAAAAAAATTTGAGGTTTTAGCTGTTGGAATACCTCCATCGGGTTTCAAACATGTTTAACAATAGAATTACATAGCAAGCAGCATACACAAAGAATAAACCTTACTCTGTGCTTTAAGCGAGTTCTGAACTATAAACTCTGTTTGCATTCAGGTGTGACATTTATTAGTGTGTATAACCTGAATGTCCCACATTTTTTCTGTTGTGGTTCCAACAAATTCTTTTAGAATAAGCTTTTTATTAAATATCGCAGACTTTCTCAATGTATGTCAAAATGAACAATTCCCATAACATTTCCAAAACACATCTCTCAAAGTCCATTTTCAGTTTTTGTCTGACATTATCTTGTTAGAAGTATTTTAACATTAACCAAATATTTGTAATCTTACCCTTTTCCATCTCAAGTTGGGGAACATTATCGATCACATCTGATGGCACATCCTCTTGTGGCTCCTCATGCGCAAAGTCTAGTTCTATATAACGAGGAGAGAAGAAAACAAAACAATAATCAGCCATGACAATGAAGGTTGCATAACAAAGCCAAGCAAGGTCTTAAACCAACTTAAGAAGCAACTATTACATTTAAAACCCAACTGACCTTTTGCAACATCTGTATCACAATCTGGTGTTTGATCTTCAACCTGTAAATAAAATCAGAATCAGTTTAGACAACAAGCACTCACTTGGGAATAATACTTAAATAAAAACGTCTCCATGGTTTACATCAGACAACACAAATGTCTTGTAAAGGTTAGATTTAGTGAATTGAATATAGTCAGTCTGTGGCTGCATGGACAATACTAAGATAAATTGTTGATTTTATTTTCTACAAAACGGTTTTGTTCATGAAAAATGAAATATGCCCAAATGCAGCTTGCTCAACTGGCACTCATGTTCAATATCTTAACCAAAATCTTTGTTTTTCAATCAAATTACTTCTACTAAAGTGACAGAGTTGCTAATATACAGTCTCAATGATAAGCTTTTTGTGTTGTTCACATCATTGTTTTGGCTTGCCTGTTCCTACTGCTGATCCCATTCTCCCTGCCAGGTGCTGCCAGTTTCTTTCCAAAATACTTTCAGTAGTCATTCCAAAAGCAAATAACTGAAAAAGTCAAACCAAGTATTTTCATTATTACCTCATGTGTCTCTGTTTGTCCTGTGGGATCAGACAGTGGCTCCTCCATGAGCTCCTGAAGTCCCTCAAAGTCCTCAACTGCAGCACTCTTCTCCTTAGGCGTCTTCATTATTCTCTTGATACCCGTAAGACATACCAATGGGGAGCTCTTCACGTTGGGGGTTTTCAGGTCTTTAATTTCAGATTCTTGCATGTGTGCTGGTGTCTCCACAATTTCCTTAACAGCAACCAAACTTGCGTCACCAGCATCTAGAGCTTTGGGAGTTTTCAGAGCGTTTTCTTGAAGGTCTTCGAAGAGTTCAGCCTCCTGTTGTGGGGTCTCGAAAATTCTCTTAACTCCGGTGAGGCACTCTTGTTGTTCAGGTTTCTGCTTAGGAGTCTTCAAAATATTCCCTCGCAGGTCTTCAACAGGCTCAGCTTTCTGTCTTGGGGTCTTCATGATTCTCTTCACTCCAGTGAGACACTCCTGCTGTTGAGGCTTCTGTTTAGGAGTTTTGAGAAGTCTCCCTCTCAAGTCCTCGACAGGTTCAGCCTTCTGTCTTGGCGTCTTCATGATCCTCTTCACTCCAGTGAGACACTCTGGTAATTCTGGCTTCTGTTTGGGAGTTGTTACAGAGGTTGTCTTCAAATCTGTGCACTGCGGTTCACCAGAATCATCGGAGTGAGTCTCCATGGCAGGGATGGCGCTGACAAAGCTAGATTCTTGATCTCCATTAAGGAAGCGTTGGACTGCCTCGTTGCTGTATTTTACGTCTTTTACTGTAGACGAAACACTAAGTGGTGACACCATCATTTCATCTAAAAAAAAAATTAAAAAAAAGTCACATTCCATTAGTTTATGCCAATTTAATTATTTAATTGACTTAATTTGACTGAGCTTTTAGTCTTACTGATTATGCAGAATGCAAAAAACCTTCCTAACAATACACACACACACACACTTTACCTGGCTCCTCTGGTGTGTTCAACACTGATGGTTCAACCACAGATGTGCCCAGACCGATCATTGGTGTCTTCATGGCACTGTTCTCATTGATTATAGCAGATCTCATCCTCACGTTTACAGGGGTTTTATACATTTCAGAAAGTCCTGAAAACACAAGGCACAATATTGAAGTCCATTATACAATACAAAGAACAAGTGTTGCCATTTGTTGGGATGAGAAAGGGTATTTACCAGTCAAGTCCTCGTCCATTTTCATGCTCTTTTTGGGGAGGGCAGTATTGGTGACCAGTCTTGGAGCAGCACCAGTTGAATGTACAACATTTTGTTTATGAGCTCTGCCCACAACAATTGTAACAGGTGAATTTGCATGTCCAGTGCTGACGTGGTCAATGAGTTTTCTTGCAGGGGTCTGAAAGATTGAGAAAAATATAGTCATTGCAGTTTGTGTCTTTGTTGAAAAGGTAAATTGTTTAGTTATTAAAAGTGAAGACAAGTCACAAGGAGCATTAGATAGGACATGTCCCTTATTTATAAAAACAGGCCTAAGAGGTTACGGTAGTGGCAAGACTAGAAAAAAAACATTACAATGATGAAAATGCACTTTGTAATTACTATACAGTATTTTCCTTTACCTGTGGTTTGGACACAGCCTTCTTCACTGTCTTTTTGGTGACAGTTTTTTTTGCCGGAACAACCACTTGAGCCTTACTTTGTCCAAATTTCACAGTGTCTGCCCAGGAACTTTTGACTGAACAGACAACAAAAAAGATATTGTGACTCAGAAATTTTGTGCAAGAAAAACAACAAGATTTCTAATATAAAAGAGATACATTATAGATTTCAGGGTCCAACATACCTTTCATAGATGCCCGTGAAACTCCACTTCTTCTAAGCATTACTTTTACAGCACTCTTTGCCATACTGGGAGTCTTCCGTGAGGCGCTCTTCATGCTCTTCCTCCTCAGGGGCAATTTAGGAGTTACAGTGACTTCAGTAACAGCCTCTTCTGCAACTGGAGATGGTGTGCTGATCCGTGACACAGAGAAGCGACCTTGTACTGTAGGGGTCTGGACTCCTGGTGTTGGCTGTTTGCTGGCCTTAGGAGTCTCCACTTTGTTTCTAGAAGGAGATGGATTCTTGGATTTTGGTGACTTGTTTGCAGGAGTTGCTGCCTTGGGAGAAGGGGTCCTTGACTTTGGTGACTTCTGTGCAGGAGTTGCTGCCTTGGGAGATGGAGACCTGGATTTTGGTGAGTTCTTTCCAGGTGTTGGAGTCTTAGGAGAAGCATTCTTGGCACTTGACTTTTTAGGTGATGGAGTTCCTGTTTTTGGACTTTCCTAAAAAAACAAACAAAAAAAAGAAATCCATTTTAAATGATATGATGCATTTTAAACACCAGGTCAAATTACTTGAGTCATCATCTTCCGCTATAGTTTTACCTGTAGCAGGCCAATGGCTGATGCTCGTCTAAGGAGTGACAGTTTGGGTTTCAACAGACACAAGCTTCTCCGTGGAGCAGCACCCTTGCATAACGGAGAGTCAGGAGGCAGCCGTTTGTCAAATAACTCAGGACTCAGCTGACCTCCAAAGGAAACCCGTTTCTTCTTCATTTGTTGTGAGGGCAAGTCAGCGGCAAGTTCTCCACTTTCGCGTTTTTTGGCCTTCTCTTGCACTAATGAATGAATTGAAAACATGACTGTGTATCAGTAACAAACATACTTTAAACATGCTTGAATAAATACTTTAATTTAGTTAACTTTCTTGACAAATTCAAAAAGAAACCATATTTATTACCTTTTTCAACTTTCCCTGAGTTTCTTGGTGATGCCTTTCGAACCGGCTCTGTTTTGGGAGATGCCACTGAAGGTTTGGCTGGTGTGGCGTCCTTGCTTCTCCTTCTCATAGGTGACTTGGGCGTTTCAGTGGAAACCTGCTCAATAACCTCAGACACAGTGAACCTCTGGGGGGTTGCACGACTTTTCTTCTGGGCTGAAGGTGCCTCTGGCGTGGCAGAATTTTCAGCTTCTGGTCTGGCCATCTCAGTATTAGGAACCTGGAAGGACTTCCTCTGCTTCTTAACAGACTTTGGGGTCCCCTTACTTATATTTTCAGCCTCTTCAGTAGTTTCATCAGCTCCAGAAGTGACTTTAGCTTCATCCTTCTTAGGAGTGCTTTTGTCTTCTGTGGAAGTGGCCGGTTTTCCATCATTTTTCCTGACTGAACAAGGTTTTGGAGTGCAAAACCTGGAAGTAGGTGTTTGGAGGAGACTGGCAGAAGATTTTCGAGGGGTCTTGACATCCAGAGATTTCTTGATCATTTGATACAGATCATTGAAGGGGGAGGCGGTCTTGTTTTGCAGCAGGCTATCGTCCCCCTTTGACTCCAACTCCATAGTTTTCTCCAGGGATCGCTGGATGTTGTCATGGTTAGTTCCATCTTTCAGATGAGGGTCTGAAAAAATTAAAGCATTTTACATAAAACAGAATTGTACACTTGATAGTGTAAATACAATTTAAAGAAAAATAACAATAGTTACACAAGAAAAACTACAGGCATCAAATCCCTATCAACAGAACTGACTGGGTTGGACACAGGGGTTAAAGTGGGGTTGCAAAAACCTTTTCACTGATCTTTCAGATGTTTTATAGATTGAGCTAAATATAAACAAATGTAACTCCAAAGGCTGATGATTTGTAAAAATGGGCTGTTTGACAGGTTGTCAGTCACTGTGTAATGTGAAATAGACAATTCATGGTTCTGTACCTACAGAAAATAGAAGTATATCTAGTTTAGTCTAATTCGACATAATCAATTTTAATTGCTTTAATTCCACCATGTTTAATCACGTGCAAAAGAAATACAATTTCTGGGAACACCGACTCTTAACTGTGCAACATTATGTTCAAATACAGCTAATTCAGAATAACCACTTCTACACAGACTCACCTGTGTGCACTTCAGAGATCCTCTTTTCTCCTGCTTCAGTGGTCACAGTGTCCCCCACTTGCTGATCTTTAAGAACCTAGGCATTAGACACTTTAATTAACACATTTATAAAGTAGTAAAATTCAGCAGTGTAGAAAAACTCAAGATGCTGGGAAGGTTGCAATGCTCTAGTGATAGATAAATGAGTTCATTACTTTGAAGGTTTCAGTTTTGCCTCCTATGGAAGACCTCTTCTTTGGTGTGGGTGCTGGAGGGTACTCAAACCTGAAATGACAATTAGCAACAAAAGTCCAATTTCATTTAATTTTGTGACAAAGATGAAAACATTTTCCCCAATAACATTGCATGTGGTGTAAGTGCTCATTAAGAAAATTAATCTGTACTTAGATTTGTAGCTTGTGTAGTGCTTTTAGAATCACAGGTGAATATGAGCAGATAAAACCATCATTAAAAATAAACAGGGTAAATGTGGGGCCAAATAACTGCAAAACTCTCTGCAGAAACAATAAAAACTGCATTTACAGCTTATACTTAAATTAAAACCAGGAGGGTTGGTTTTTCCTTTAAACTGTCAACCATCTGCATATTGTATTAAGTCAGATTAGGTAAGGGAAAACGTTGGTAATAAAATCATTTGGTGAAGGTGTAAGGCAAAGAACGGTGAACTGTTTCTCTTCACACTCACCTGAAAGAACGGTCAATAATTGTTATCAAGTCTCCGTGCTTCAAACGCTCAGACTGCTGCAAAGCCTCTCCGTTGACACGAGTTGGATTCACTGAGCTCAAATTAGTCAAAATGACCTGCAGGGAAAAACATAAAAAGCACCTCAAACATAGTCCACCAGAGTAGCTCAAACCAGAATACTGGTTTATGCTCAACTTTTATATATTTCTATCTAGGTGAAGATTTCCCACTGTGAACTCACATGTGATTTAAACAATGATACTTCTTACAAATTAACATTGCGATTAACAAAATATGAGAATGTGACAATAATAATTCTTCATTATTATTCCAGACATCCATTTCACATTAAACACGGTCAGTGCAGTAATGTTCAGTATGTGTCGTTACCTCTTTATTTTCATTCAGGTCAATCCTGCAATGCTCCTTGGAGACCTGAGGAAGCTGAATACGAATATCGCAGTCAGGCTTCCTGTAAAGAAGAGGAAGAAGATATACTTTATTACTTAAAGAACACAAAGAAACAAAGTGTCAACAAAGGATACATGTATGTGGAACATCACACAATCTACGTATTAAGTGGCGATTGTCCATAATCAGTGAATGAAATCAGAATCAGAATTACTTTAATAATTCCAGGGGGAAATTACTTTTGTTACATATACTCCAGATGTAATAGACATACTATCTGTAAATAAAGGATTAAAATGTACAGTTTAAAGTCACACTTTCTAATGTGCAAAATGTGCAAAAATGGTATGTGTAAAGTGACCATGTGCAGTTTCTGATTGTCTGTTTCAGGTCAGATTACAGAGCGGGGGTGTCTGACTCTCTGAGGGAGGCGTTGTAGAGTTAAATAATCTTTAAACCATAATCTATAAGTAAAGGGAACTGCAGGGTTGTCCAACTAGTCAGATGTACACGTGTTTAAGGTTCTGACGTCAGCAGCATATGGCCCGCCTCCAAACCAACAGGGTTTATATATCACCTCTGTCAACCCCAACATGAGGCTGCACTGTGAATGCTGGCCCCAACATAACGTGTTTTACTTACAAATAAGGATTAAGATAAAAACTAGAGCAATTAAGATTAGGTTTAATTAAAAAAAAAAATAAAATCATAACATGGCAAAATAACATTACAACCACCACCAAATGCATTTTATTGAGCTCACCTTCCGAACAAGCATGTTGCAGTAAGAGGAAACTCAGTCCCATCTCCTCCACTCCTCTTAACCACGACTATTTTCCCATGCAAAGGCATTTTTCGTTACGTTACGTTACCTGGGAACGTTAGCAAAACACACGTGTCAAAACTGCACAGAATGCTATCTAAACAGGTTAAAGGTCTCATTTTTAGGGTAACATGGAGCATTTTAACATGAGAAAGAACCCCCCCCGTAAACAGGCAACGCATGGAAGGCACGATGTGTGCGAAGAAAAAAAAAATCTGTTTAATGATACTTAGTAACCAACTTAGTTAACGGACGTTATATATCTCCGGACAATGCTATGTTTTTAACGTTTACGTAATTCGCCGTCAACGTTAAAATTTAAATCAGCAGGTCGCTGTTACATAATGTTAAAACTTTAAAACACACCGCTGACAATTCTGCAACAACCCACGTGTAACGTCGCCTCGGTAGTTCTACTGTTGACTACAGATTGAGATTAGCGACTACAACACAACAAGATACCCTTTACGGTGAAACATGTACCGCTAAATTAACGTTAGCTGAAACATGAAGAGCGTTATTGGTCAAGATTGCACGACAACACATTAATAAGCGTTGTAGCCTCACCTGGAAGTCCGTTCAAAGACACGTCAACTTCTGGAAATCCATAAACATCGACCGGGAAAAGGAATTTTACTATAATATCATATCAGACTAAAAGTACAACCGTTATCCTACCGTATCCTACAATGTACATCGACGAATGGCTAACGTAAGCTACCTTGGGTAGCCGTCACTTGTCGTCTCTCCGCTCTTCCAGAGAGGCGCCGTGATATCACTCCGCCACACTACAAACACATACAGTAACCTAAAAAATGCACGGATTAATTTAAGTTTGGGGATGACATATCTGTATTGTTTGTGTTCCTGTGTTGTTATGGTTTTATGATGTTCTCTCTAATAAATGTAACTTCAATCTGATTAAAAGGCACTATTTTGTTTACAAATTTGGCGGAACAATCTCACTTCGGCCAAGGGACACGGATTTGAAAATGTTTGAAATTCCGCGCGAAGGATTTTGATTGGTTGATACGTCACAATCTCTAGTAAGAGGGCGGGGCATAGTACTTCCGGCATAGAGCCCAGACAGCCCTGTCACCGGTTTCTTTCATGGAAATCAGGTTTGGCATTTCCAATTAGTTTAAAAAATATATAATTATCAGTATAATTCTCTTCTGTACGATTTGTTAAAGATATTTACCCCCCTTAATAGGCTCCAGTTAACTACAGATTGTCAGCTGGTTCATGAGTTTAACCTTAACATACAGGACAGCATAGTATATTTACACAGTGCTGTATTTGTTGTACATAATAATAATAATAATAATAATAATAATAGATCTTTTTCACATAAGAACATTTAATTTTTAAAATTAATCATTAATTTTATTAGTTACACCTGTACTTTTTCAATCCAAACGTTAGTGAAAAAGGTTTATATGCCGATACTTGGAACATAATATGCTCTCAGAATGAGTCTGTTCATATGGGAAAACAATATTATTCTGTTCTGACAATCTACTCTGCAATGCCTGCAGCTTATTTCACTGTCGATATGTGATTTCTTTTATGTTGCTTCACTGGTGAGAAGAGCTAGACAGATTAGGTAGGCAACTAGTTTGGAAGCAATCTATTTTAGGCCTAAAGTCATGTACATAGACCTATTTGTCTCTCTGAGCCTAGTGCACACCCACAAGTGACTATTACTCTTTGATCTTGGTGTCATCTTCATCTCGCGAGGTAACTGGCAACAGGTCTAACTTCCTTATTAACTCGTGCTACAAAAGGTGGATGCATTTTACCCGAGGTATGTTACATGTCTAAACTAGTCCGAGCAGGGTTATCTTCGTGGTTAACTCGATGTTACCATATAAATACCCTATATATAATAGGTGCCCTGCAGAGGGTGAGGGTGTTTGGAGTCACAATCCTCCAGTTTACCCGGATGGTGTTCTTTATCAGAGATATCGATTCTCATCTGAGGGAGTTCAGTATGTGTGCCAACTTCAAGGGCCGGAATGCATTTATTATGTTCCCATTCAATTGTTATAAAAATCAAAGAGGCTTGTTAAGCGGTTGCAGATCATTCACATTATAGAAATACTTTTTAATATACACAGACTGGGCCTATATACAGAACACTTTATTTACAATATTTAGAGTGATTGTTGCGACTGACTGTACACTTATTCTAACAGTAGCATTACATTCACACAGGTAACCCCTCAGCCCCGGTGCTTTAGGGATTATAATAACCTTTCAGGCTCACTTTCTTGCTTTAATCCCTGTTCATTCATGAACTGTTCAATTTCTGATATGTTTTTCATTATTTTACCGCTTTAATCTTGGAAAATGTACCGCTGTCGTATTCAATCATATCACAAATAGAAGAGTCCACGAGAGACAAATAGAGAACCTATGTCATGAACACTCCCCTTTCATGCGGTGAAGTTGACACAGACTAAACTGACATCTTATTCACCGTTTAACAACAGTTTGTCAAACCGGACTTTCCTTGATAACCCCGAGTTAAATCTGGTACAGCCCTCCGGTGTGTTTTACTGCTCATATCTGTTCAACTTTTATGAGTAAAAATGTGTTACACTGAAAAAACTGAATTGCTGTACCAGTTTAACACAAATTGATTGAGTTTTCTGTCACAGCAGGTTAGATCAACACAATTACTTTGAAAAAAATCCTTTGTGCATTACTAACTGAAGTAATTTAAGTAGTTAAATGACTCTCAGTGCATTTCTTATTTCAAGGTTTCACTTCAACCTAACCTCAATGCTGATTTTGATTAAGCTCACTGTGGTGAAGATTCTGGTATTTATCCATTTGGTGATGGCAACATTGAATTTAAATGTGAACTGTGAAACCTTGTTATCAGTCTCTTCAGTGCTTTGTTATTTCTACACACAAGAAAGGAGATATCAAGGCTTCAACAAAGTGTCAATAAACTTAAAAGTGACTTCTGATTTTCCCTAAACGTCTTTCTGTGGATATGAAGTATGAAAACCTACTGACAGAATGAAAAGAATGACACACGTGAACAACACAAACACGTTTAATAATTATTAAATGTTGGTTTTATTTTTGATCTTTTTTTGTTGTTTTGTTTTTTTTCCAAAGTCGCTTGATAATCTTGACAAAATTGCAACATATTCCATACTTCTCAAACTGACGGTGTGTCTGTTGCTATTCCAGATTAGCTGTGGAGGGAAAAGTTGTGCGCTGTTCTGGACAGGTGAAGTCCTAACTGATGAAAGCAGCTTTTGACCGTACAAATAAAAAGAACACATGAACGACTCAGAGAGACTCCACACTGGCATCTTATGTTGTAACGCTGCAGGGTCAGGGTCTGTGTCTCTCTGCACAAGTCCTGGTCTGCCAGGCCTAACAAAAAAGGAGTGACTGGAGAAAAGTTCAGGGGCTCAGTAGCAGAAGTGTGTGTATCTGTGACAGGAGGGTTTGGAGGTGCAGCACAGAACATATACAAAGACCAGGCCAAGCACACAAAATGATTCCTTCCTGAGACATTGGCGTGTGTACAGTAATGATGGTCTAGATGACGTGTGTTAACGGTGAAGGCGTTTTGGCGTAAAGTGAGTCGCAGGGTGCAAGGTTGCTCTGGATCCGGCAAAAAGTCACATATTTGTTTCTACCACAGGTTGCCCGGGGGGGGGACTTTGTGAGGACTTAGTTGACAAACATCACATTTGGGACCTTCACTTGCCTGACCACTGACCGAGCAGAGGGATCACCACAATCTAGTCTTTTCCCGTCCACTGCGGGTTATTGATCCATTCAGAGACTGAAAATCACTTTGTGTTTAATACAGTGTGTATGTACACCATTCTTCACATTTTTTCTCTCTTTGAAGCTGAGCTGCTGTAGCGTACTTATACCTGGCAGGCTACAAGTGACACCAAGCTCACCGTTTTCAGAAAACACCATCTTCTTTCTGCTACATGGCCAAAAAAGCTATGCCCCGACTGGAGTGCTACTTTGTTATCTACTGTATGTAAAAAACATGTTTTAAAAGTGATGGGGAGGGAGGAGATTGAAATTGTTTGTGAAAGCCACATTCTGAACAGCCAGTGATTGGTTAAGGGTCTGTCCAGTATTTAGTAGGACACAAAACATGAAAGAACTTCCTTCAGTAAAATGTGCTCAAAATGTCTTTTCTTGCATCACAAACCTATAAACAAAACACATAAAAGGTATTCTTAAAAAAAAAAAAAAAAGTCAGGTGAAGCCTAAAACTCTTCATAGTTTTAAAGAAATGAATACAGCTTATATACACAAACTCAAAGGCTACTTAAAATACACCTTAATAATGAATCTTCATTAATTTGATTTCTTGAAAGGACCTGTGACCATATCATACAACCTAGTTCATACAATCATTTTTTTCCATTCTCGTGGAAGAAAAAAAAAAAAAAAAAGAAAGAAAAAAAGGAAAACAAATCCAACCTGGAATAGTAGGTGATATTCATTGCGACTTGTTTTCTGTGCACATTTATGTGTGTGTATGTCTTTGTTTGTGTGTGTTTGTATGTGTAGACTGGAGAGAAATTACAACATCTTTTCCTTGTTGTTAATTAGAATAATGTACAAATGTGATAAAACTGAAACGTTTCTCTCAATACTCTCTATGGGTATGAAAAGATTCAAACAGTGAAGGAGTACAACAATTTCTAATCTCAGAAAACACGTCCTCATTTCAACCTGCCATTCTGTTCTGGACATGTCAATCACAATAGTTCCTAAACTTTTCTATATATATTTATATATCTTTTGTACGAAATCTGTTTTTTGAAGTTGGAAAAAGAAAAAAGACCCAGAGTCTTTGAGGAGGGGGGGTCTTTTGACAAGTCCCAAGCTTGCAGTCTGCCTCAGAGTACAACAAAAAAGTGTCTGGTGTTCGTCAAGTCAGTCTGTATGCATTGTCCTTGTTCATATATTTGTCCCATGGTGCCCCGCCCACTCTCGGTTCCATTCGAAACTGGTCTCCACTGCATCCAGATTTGTTTCCTTGAGTCTTTTGGAGAAAGGTCGAGAGAGGAGGAGCAGCAGTGGAGAGGAGAGTGGGGGGAGAAGGAGGATGAGTCATCAGCAGTGTTTACGGTGTGGTCTCTCGGAGGCATCCTGTTGCCCCGGCCTGCCCCGGCCTTGCCTCCCCTCACATCAGGACGGTGCTCCAGAGTGAGGGAAAGCAGATCAGGAGGTGGGGATTTGTGTTTAGGAGAGGAGGAGGGTTGGCTCTGCTGGTCTCCTGTGTTCAGCAGTCAGGGTCAAGGCCCCCCTCCTTCGCCCCTCCTCTTTAGAACGTCGAGGGTGGAGACAGAGAGTATCGTGAGGAAAAATAAAAAGGTGGGCCGCTACTACGGCGATTGTGTGGCTGGACTGCTTTGGGCAGAGCTAGGGGACAGACTGGGGCTGCAGCTGCCTGGGGGGGCACCACTGGGCCGGCTGCCTGCGGCCCCGCTTTCCAGGCCTTCCGAGTTCTCCAGCATCTCCTGGATGAGAGGGGGCATGGAGCCGGGAATCTCCATCTTCAGGGTGATGACACGCTCAGCTCCTGCAGGGAGGGTTGGAGAGAGATGGGAAAATATTAACTACCAAAGTTCCTAAAAAATACATATTAAATTCATCTGAGAAGTGTAAGACTAGTGTTGACCACAGACCTTTAGCACTGATGCTTCTCAGATCAGTAATCTTCATCAGCATCTT